TGTATACTGAAAAGTCAAACTTTGACTTTTTGGTCAAAATCAAGTGTCAAGATTCATTTTTCATCAAAACATGCCAAATCATGAAACTTGTTCATCAAGAAATCAAGAATTGCAAATTAGGGTTTGAAATGAAGATTTTTTATAACTTAGAATTTTTCTAAGTTATGAAAAACCCTAATTTTTTCCTAAATTTGTCTCACTTTCTCATCAAGATGCATTTGGATTCAAGGAAAAGTCAAAACATGAAAGTTGTAGCCCATTGCAAAATCTACAACTTTGATTCACAAAGTTTCATCAAAAGAAGCTTGTAGCTCAAGTTACAATTTTTGGAACAAGGGTACCAAACCATTCTTAACTTAGAGAAATTTTGACCTATTTTAGGCAAGATTTTTGCCTAACTTCAAGACCACTTTTCACATACTTCCACTTGGAATTTCAATTTGCATTACAAAGATGGATTGTAGTACACATTCCAAGATTTCCAAAATGTCCAAGAACTCATCAAACAACCTCATGGTTAGGGAGAATCGAATTTGGCAAGTTGGGAAAAACTCACTTTGTTTATGGCCAATTTTCATGTTCATACACTTGTGCAATTTTTCAAATCAGCTTGCACAACTTGATCACAGGTCCTATATCCCATTTGCACTCATAAATTAAATGCAAACCCTTTGTGCCAAAACCTTATTTTATGTGTTTAAGCATTGTATGCAAAATTAAGCCATAAGTAGAAAAAGCATTATATTCATTTTAGAAAAGTTGAACTTTATGTCAAATGCAAATCCAAGAAGCATAGGCACAATCTTTTGAGCTGGTATTTTGTACACAAATCACTCTAACCAAGACTAATGTATGCAACATAGATTGGGGGCCTGCACAAGTCTAGAACACAACTTGGCATTTTATTGCTTAAAGGTGAAGAAAACTTGCATAACAGCTACCAACTCTCATTCCTGTCAACAAGAGCTTAAGCAAAGATTGTGAACACTTTCTAAACACCAACCCTGACCTGAAACACAAGCCAACCACTTCCAATACCTTCTCAAACACAGAACCACCATAAAACTGCAAAAACAGGGCATAAGCTGCAGTTGGACTTCCATAGTTCATTCCACTTGTGCATTCTTGCTAAGACTTGTTCAAACACATCCCACACCATCCATTGAAACTGTTCCAAGCCCTAAACACGACCTGTAACACCCCTAGCTAACATCACCATTTCCATATTTTCTGTTTTGCAGTTGAAGTGCCATAACACGATTCACTTGGTTTTGAAGCAAACTAAAGGTTGGAATAGCATCATGGGACATCAAGCAAGCTACACAAATCATTACTTTGCCTTGTAAGCATCTCCATTGTTGCACACGTTTCCAACTGAACAGGTAAATCTTTGGACTTCTATCTCTCAATGTAGGAAGAATTAGCTCTAAGTTTGTGAATGAAAAATGTCATGCTCATGCCCCTGAAGCCATACATATCTTTACTTTCCATTTATTTTGCATGTACTATGAGAATTTTAAGTCTGAACATTGAATGAAAACTAGGTCAGGAATTGGGGGAGAAGAAATTCTCTCTCATTTCTGAGAGTTAGGATGAGTTCTTTATATGTCCAGAATCGTGGTTTGATGCTTAACATTTTTTATGTTATGAGTTTGTGCTAAAAGTCCAGGAATCCAGATGTTTGAATCAGTGTAGGAGGCGCGCGTTTTTTGACAAATTTCTGGCCAGAGGTTGAAGAAGGTCCTTTGGGCTGGGCTTGTTTTATTTTTCTTATTTACACCACCTTTTTTACTTTTGAACCCCCTTGACCCATTGTGCTTATTTGAAACATTTTTTGACTTTTTCTTGTTATTTCTGACTTGTTTATTTTTTCTCATAATATTAAAAATATAAAAAATATTTTTCAAACCATTTTTGTATTTATTAAGCATTTATTGGTTTAAATTAACATTTGTACATAAATAAATACATAATACTTTTTGTTTAGAATATTAGGAATAATACAGAATATATTTATTTTCTAATTTTTATTTTATTTTATCTTCTGAAAACATTATATATAAAATATACTTTTCTTGTAAATATTAAATATTTTATTTTTTGTATATATTTAATCTATTTAGTAAATAATGCAAACACATATATATTTATTAGAATATTTAGGATAAAATATAAAATATATACATTTTTATTTTTATTAATATTTAACATTAAAAATACCTTTTTGACAAATATACTTCTCTTTTATTTATTTTTTGTATATAATTAATAACTATTGCATATATTATACAATAAATACTTTTATTTGTAAAATTAGGGTTTTTGCCCTAAACATAAAAATATTCAAAAAAATTAACTTTTCTTTTATTTATTTTTTAGTATTTTATTTTATTTGTGAATAAAAAATATACACTTACACAAGAATACATTCACATATACATTGTTCCATTCTTACACATTTATACATTTATATTTGCGCAATTCAATTTGGTTGTAAATATTGGGTGCTATCCTCCTAGAAAGTTTCATCCCCATTTGAACATTTGTACCCCCATTCCCATGATCATTGTGTAATAACTTAGGACTTTTAAATTTCGCACTTTAAATGCTTTCTAATTATGCCATGCTAGAATTAGGGTTTGTATGCAAATCAAAAATAACAAAATAGTTTGACCTAAATTCAAGATAAACAAGCATGAAAATGGACAACACCAATCACACTTGCACCCCTAGGGTATTCCACTTGTTGCCTTCAATAATGGGCTATATTGCATGTTAGGTCTCTTTGGGAAAAACAAACAATTCAAATGATCATAGTCCCTCGATGACGCTTTCGAAAGTTGCCTAAAAATGATCAAGTCCCTTAAAGAAAATTGCCCAAAGATACTTGGCACCATTGCAATTATGGTCTAAACAATGACCCGCGCCCGTCCCTTTCACATCCTAACACAAGATTGTCCACCAAATACAATGGTGGAACAAAATTGTTAAAAGGGTTAAAACATAGCAAAGATCTTTGAGAAATATAGGGTAGATAGCTCTTGGTTACTTGCCCCCTTGCAAAACAAAAACACTTGCCTATTTTTTAAAACCACACATCACTACACTTTCAAAACAACTTTCAAAAACATTGAAAACCTTTTCAAAAGACATACACCTTTGTATACATCCCAACATGGATCATTACAAAGGTTGCCACCACATTGGCCTCTTTTCAAAACATTTTCAAACCCACACACACGAAGCACCATTTCAAACAATTGAAAATTAAGGCAAGTTGATCTAAGCAAGTAACTAAGAGCCCATGGATAACCGTGGATAGAAAGGGTGCTAATACCTTCCCTTTCTATAATCTACTCCCCGAACCCAAGAAAACATCTCAAAGGTTTTTGCTGTGCTTTTTAACCTTTCCTTAGGATAAAATAAAAAGTCGGTGGCGACTCTTGCTCAACAGAAACATTTGCGAAAACAAACGCAAAACCCTAGTCAGTTCTCCCACTGTATCACAATATGGCCTGAGCTGAAAAATGTCATACAAATGTCCAACATTGAACAAAAACAGTAGACCATGCTTCTCGCAATTCTAATATCAGGATTAGACCGTGCTCAGGTGCCCTTGTATGATAATTAAACTACTCAAAGATTATTACATATTATGCGTAAACAAATTAACATTGGTATGGAATAGATATTGCACATGAATACTTAATTAGCCAAATATAAAGATCATGTTACTTATCTTTAAGTTCATGCGAAATTGATATGTAGTTCATAATAAAAATTCAAATATGGTCTTCTAAACACCACCCAACTAAACTACTTTGATTTTATTTTATTCAGTCTTGTCTAGCTAGTAAACTATACTGCAAAATAGTGAACAAAACTGAGAATATTTTTATCATTCAAAACAACATATCCTTCTTCATACACCGTTTTAAATTTGAAGATTTTTCTAACCTAAAATAATTCTAAAGCAGCATTAACATTCCACTCTTTGAGCTTAGCCATTGCCAAATCATTGCACAACAATACGTGCTTTCGTTGTTGACATATTTTATACCACCGTGATTGATGTTGCCAACGACTTTGGTGTCTCGTCTTTTCTCTAATTCACTTATGGTATTTCTTACATTGGTATGGTGCTTCATCTTCACATACTTATCGAAAACAACTTAGAAGTAACACAATCTTCGAAAATCTTGCGTGCATTATCACTACATTCAACTATCAAGGCCAAACAACTTGCATACATTATGTACTATTAGAATCTCAAAAACCAGTTAGCTTACAAATTGACAGTTAGAATGTTTCACTATAAATTAACAGTTAGCTTACAAACATTCTGTACAGTTAGAATCTAAAAAAATCAGCTTCTTTCAAAAATCATGTTTCCCGGTAAAAGCTTATACAGGTGGGAAACTAATTTTTATGGCGTCGTCATTTGTTGCGGCAGCACCGAGAATAGCTTTCGCCGAACATTCTCTCAGCGGGCATTCTACCAGGAGAACAACACAATCATTAAATTTTATCTTAAATTAAAAATAATTTTAAAATAAAAATAATAGTAACATAAATAATTAAGAAATACTTGATTATTTACCAAATAGATTGATTATATTGCAAGATAAATACTTGAATTTGATGAGTGCTCATAATGACATTCAATATTAGCTAAAGAACCTTTTCCTGAAGTTTAAAAGACTAATAATTAGAAATAAGATGAAAATTTATCACCTGTTATCACAACATCTTTAAGATCCCGACCATGATATGCAACGCAAGATACACATCAAATAATTTTTTTTCTTTAAATTCAGGATATCCAATTTGGAATGGGACCAAGTGGTGATCTTTAACATTAAAAGTCATTGTCTTGGCTTCGCGAATGCGTATAGTGTCGCAAGAACTTGCTGTAATAAAATTAGATAATTTGTCATTACATGGAAAAAGAATGCATCAAGTTTGATCTTTTTTTCAAGAGATGGTTATATATTGTACATTCAATATCTTCTGGTTTGGCTCAAAGGATCATAATCATACACCTTGACATCTTTGACAAACCGGCCCTTCACGCGACTTCGGATATCAGCCCTTTCCTTGCAAGAAAGCAACACTCTCTGAATCACTACAAAGTACGAGTATTTAATTTGATTGTTCCAAATCAGCTTCTTTCGAAGCATCAATAACCCAAAAGTGTAATAAATCTTTTTTAACTTAAGAACACCAGTAACTAATCTAGATTCAGGTGTCCATGAATGGTCATTTACTACATCAACTTGCAGAGCAGAAATACCATTCCAACTTAAGCTAGTAAGAAGTACACTTGCAGATAGTTAGAGGATCAATAAAAGCGACATTGCAGAGTTTCTGAAAGTTCTTATTTCTGAGCAGACTGAAGTACCAGTGGAAATTATTTTAGTTAAAAACATTAATATAAATTCGGTTTTAAATATTAATTCAGGAATCAATAGCTTCAAATCAGTTATAAACATAGAATCAATTATACCCGAGATAAGAAATTGGAGAGGCATATTTCTTCTGTGGGTGGTATTCTTGGTGAGTGAATAGAATAAACACCAGGACCAATGCCAACTCTATATATAACTTCCTCACAGAAGACAGATAATAACTTCTCATCTGATATGGAATTCTCGATGGTGATCACATTTGCATCCATATCTGTGTTGGGAATTTAGGAGACACCAAAGAGCCTAAGAAATAAGCATTAAAGAAAACACCTTGCATAGTAATAACACGACCACTCTCATACCACATTGGTTTCGCCACTTCCATGAATGTCATTAGATGCATCCGCTTGTTCTCAGCTTCTTCTAGCAATGCTTTGATCCATCAACCACTGTGCTCGAATTGACGCAATGATTTGCAGTGAAGTAACATTCGTCCTTCCATGCCAGGGACAACAACTATTGTCTCAAGCATTATTGATTGCAAATTGTTTGCCTTAATCAAACGATATTCCCATTTGATTGAACACCATATGACTCAAACTCCATTCTAATTATGCTCTCAGTAGTCTCACAACTATGTTAGAAGATAGATTCAAAGATATGATAAGCAATAGAAATATCACAACTCTGTCCAATATGAAATGCATGGATCAAAAATGAAATTAAGTGGAAGAGAAATGAAAGTTACCTTATCAATATGGTTTGGTTATAGATATGACGTACTTGCTGAACCATCACAAACTGATGTTGAAATGCTTCAGCAAATGTAGTATTATCACATACTTTCCACCCAGAAAGTCGATCAACCTGCAACGTTACAAGAACTATATAGTAAACAAAATAATTGTAAAAAAATAGTAAATTGGGAGCAATTAAGGTGAACCTATTAGTGAAAAGTGACATATGCAATAGATATTGATTTAATATAATTATAAATAAATAATCATTATGCCCTTTTTTATTGTCACGCAGAATGCCTGCTCGCAAATCCAAGGTGTTATAGCCCAGAAATTCTATCCCAGAGTTATTAATCTCGGATAGCGGAGCGGAGCGGCCGACCCCCGGGAATGGGAAAAGTGGGAATAGCGGGATCCCGGATAGCGGGATAACTTTTTGTATACTAATAATTATATAATAATCTATAAAACATATGTCATGTAATACTAAACTAATTTTACAACACTCATAAAATATTTATAAAATCTAATGTCAAACCAAGAACAGTGCTTAATCAAGATTCAAAACATAAAGATTCAAATTCAAACTTAGTACTATCATATGAAAATTCAAGCAAACATGGAAATCATGTAGCATCATCAAAATATTCCTCCAATTCTTCATTTTCTTCATATTCCTCCAATTCTTCATTTTCAACTTCAAAATAGAAAGAAACGGTGTTTACAACAAAACAAAAATAGAAGAAGTAGAAGGTAGAAAGAAAAGAAGTAGAAAGAAAAGAAGTAGAATAAGTTGAAGAATTAGAAGAAATTACCTGAGATGACAGAAGGAGATGGAGGAAGAATCGAAGAAGGAGAGTTGCAGAGAGATGGCGGCAGAATCGTAGAAGGAGAGTTGAGGAATTAGAGCACGATAAAACACAACGAATGAGGGAGAAAGAAAACAAAAATTGTTTTAAAACAAAGGCATTTAAGTAATTTGGCCCAGAAAATTGTTTTTTTTTTAAAAGAGAACCGGAGCCGCTCCGCCCGGGAACTTCCCGCTACCCACTATCCGAGAACGCGGCTGAAGCGGCCGCTTTTTCATCTCCGCTACCGCACCCTAAATAGTGCGCGGGGGGGTGCCGCACCGCTACGGTGCGCCGCTATAGCGGCCGGAGCACCCGCTATAAGAAATACTTGTGAATGAAAGCAATAGTAGCTTCATGAGACCCATCTTCAATAAAAACACCCATTTGAACACGTATCTTGTCAACTATCCGCAAGAGATCAAACTTTTAGTTAGAATTTTAAATATGTAATCATCATTAACTTTGTACCAACAAAACCCAAGGATATATGCTAGTAAGAGATACCATAATATTTCAAATATAATTTCCCACAGTATTTAAAATATCATACTCTGGTTTTCTTCATATATACTGCATTATAAATAAATCTCATGACCAAAATTGGCAAAAGGACCTCAACCAATTTTCAAAAAATAAATAGATTATTGGTGGGTAAACAAACCAAATTAAACAGATGGCATTAATAATTTCAGGTGTATGATTGGTTGATATATTTTCTTTAGAATTTTCTTCTAGTAGCAGCTTTCTCGAGTAGTCTGTTTATTCTTCGTGTTTTCCAGACCCACCAAAAACATCGGCTAACATAAGTGGTAGGACACATGATGTAAATAGCCTCTCAGCAACGGAAGATCTTGGTCTCAAATCTACAAGAAAATTGCCAAATATAAAGCAATTATGTAAAAATTGCACACAACCTTGCTATCATTAATTTCCCCTACAAGAAGAATTACTGTTGAATTTACAATCCAACTTCTTTTGATTTTCCATCAACCTGCAAAAACAACAAATACCTGCATTAATCACACAATTCAACAACAAGCGAACACTTGTTCCACTTTATCATCAGCACACACACATCACCGATAAATATTCAACAACCATCACTAACCTTCTCCATAAATCCAAAATGTAACCACAATTATGCACCTGCAATCGATGTTCGGATACACAGTCATTTGATATTCAACACAATTTAAGCGTTTTGAAACAACAGAAGCAATATGCAACAATAAACAGCCTGTAGCAGAACAACAAACAACTTTCATCAGCTCACAGCGAACTCACGGATTCCAGAATCAGTAGAAGAAGAAGAAGTGGAGTGAGAAGGAACTGTACCTACGCGCTACCACTGATAGAGCTCGACCTCACCATTTTTGTTCAGGTAATTTGAAGCTTCTGATTTACCGTTTTCGTATGCGGTTTGTAGATATTATGCTATTTGTGTCTGATTTATAAGGTTTAGGTCTGTTGTACGTTGTGTTTCATTTTGTTTTATATGGCATTTCATCGAACAATACACATGCATCAATGAAAGAGAGATTGTTTGATATCAGAAGTAAATACAGTCACACACCTGCAATGTAAACCATACACATATTGTTTTATATACGAATTTTAGCGCAAACTTAACTCATTCAAAGATATGAAGTACCTAAGCAAGGGCTGATCACTTGAGAACTATCCCTTTGATATCCATATATGTAAAAGAAAAATATGTTTTAGAATTAAATCTTTTTGGCATTACATATTTTGATGCTAATTTGTGGTTAAACAATCACCTGCTGGAAGGTGTTGTAGGATTCAAGGATCGATCCTCTGATCCAAATAATGTACTTTCTCTCTGGTGGAACAACAATCTTAATCTTCATGCTTCTAGGAGCCAGGGCAGTGACATCTTTGCTCATATGATCTACAATACTGGGAAAATAGTTGAACCACCACTAAGAACATTATTTCCATACAAATCCTTTATTTTATCAACATCACACTTCATTATAGATTTGTTAATGGTCTCATGAACAAAATCACTTAAAGACATACCTTGTTAGCTTCAAAACTCAGCAATAAAAGCTGATCCAGTCTTAACATCATGAATTTTCCAAAACACAAATAAGGACAGAGTTACAATGTTGCCCCGTTAACAACAAAATCAATGCCAGAAGTACCAATTGACGTAGAAATATCAATAGTGGGGTTACGATTTAAATCAACAGCCGTAGTAAAACCAACATGATTGTGGAGATATCGAACCTCAATCTACATAAAACAAAATACATAATCAACACAACATCAATGACTACTACGATCCATTAGACGCATACCAAATACAAAGTAGTTCTTCAAATAATTCCTCCAAAGGGTGAAAGGGAACTTGATGGATTTGAAGTGCTGCTCAAATTCTTGATTGAATTTACTGAAATTGTATGTGTGTCACCGTCACAGTTCATAACATATCAGTTGTGGAATAATGGAGACACTGATAGTGGAATGGTGAGAAATCGAATCTGAGAAGAAATAAGAAGACAGATCCATAGAGAGAGAAAGAGAGAAAGGATGAGAAAGATATGGGAAGAGAAACCGTTGTGGAATAATGGGGACATTGATAGTCGAACGGTGAGAAGGAGAAAAAATCGTGTTGTTTTATAACCGACAATTTTTCCTTTGCCTCACACATGAAGTCAGATGTCGCGATTTTGGAACAAAAGGATAAAATATGGTTTTTGGGTAGAATAAGTTTTCTTATATTATAGATTAGATTAAATTAAGCATTTAATCAGGAGGATCATAAGGTACTTTAGTTTTTATATATTTATAACCAATAAATATTAATCATTTTAAATATAAAATATTTATTTTGGTCCCTTAATTATAATATTAAATTCACATTAATCCTTTTTTGGTGTCATTTTAATGTTTTAATTTTAAAAAAAAATTATTTTAATTTTTTTTATCTAATTAACAAAAAAAAAATTTTAAAATCCGTGGCTAAATCCGAATTTTAAAATGAGTATTTTGTCGAAATTAAACTTATGATTGAACAGGACAAACATTAGAGAGTGGATAGAAAGATAGATAAGTGCTTTTTTTTGTAACGAACAAAAAGAAAGTAGTTTTTGCTTCCGATGGAGAGTAGTCATCTTCTTCTGACACGCACTTGCTGCTGCTGTTCATTCTCACTTCAATCTTCATCAATTCTCCATTTCCCAACCTCTCGTTCCTTCCGATTCCGACGCAATTCAACAATCTCTTCCAACAATTCTTCTTCATTACCCGACGCTACTTTTCCTATTCCATGTAACTATCTCTTTCTCTATTTCTCAACTCAATTTCATTATTTACTACTTCTGATTCATATTTCATATACACTACACATGCTTTAGGGTTTCGTTATTAGGTTTTAAATGATTAACGAATTTTGAATTGTAATGTTAGGATTTAAGTACTGTTTATCCGGTGAAATAAATATGAGATTGTCACAAAATACATAAGCGCTTATTTTGATAAGCACTTTTGCTATAAGCTGCAAATAAAAACTATGTAGAAATTGATGTTCTTATTTATTCTGCTCATTTAGCTAGAGGGACTAAGGTTGCTGCCACGGATTTATCTCTTGCGGTCAAGGTGAGATTACCCTTCTTGTTCAACTCAGAACCGTACTTTATTATTGTTTTTATTGATATGCAATTGACCCCGGGATTTACTGTCTTTCTGAATCAAAACTCACATTTTACCTGTTAACCTTTGATCCAGAAGAAAGCAGCAGATGTATCCCCTGAGTTGAAAGGCTCTTCCATATTTTTGGTTGGTAAGAATAGATTTTAACGCGTTTAAATAATGGTTTTCGGCGTTTCTGGCTTATTGTGACTCGACCTGATTTATTTGATGAAGGTATGAAAAGTTCTCTTAAAACCAATCTAGGAAAACTGCTGGCTGATGTGTTGCGATATTATTATTTTGACAGGTATCTGTTTATTCTTTGGTAAAAGGTTTTATTTTAGGTATAAGGTAGCTTCCATTGTTTATCTAAACTTGATGATTATGTACTCTATTTAGCGATAATTTGGTGGAAGAAGCTATAGGCGGTGCATCAGTTGCAAAATCTTTCAAAGAGAGTGATGAAGCAGGGTTCCATGAGTCTGAGGTAATTCATTGTCTTAGACTGATTTAGGGTCTGTTTGGATTTACTTATGTGAGTTTATCTACTAGTGTAAATAATTGTGAGACTTAAGAAACAACTTTTTTTTATAGAAACAACTTATAACATATCCATAAGCTATTTTAAACTTGTTTGTTAGAGAAATAGCTTGTACATAACAGCTTATGCTATAAGAGCTTAATTAAATTGTTTATCTGAACATGATCTTGACTTCATTTTTATGTACTAATTGTGTTTCATCTGTGCATCAGAACAGTGTGATTCTATCCTATTCCTGTCTAACACATTTCTTCTAATTTGTTGAGCTGATGTGTTCTTCTTCTCACTTACTTTCAGGATAAAGATGCTCGAATGAATAAATCATCTCTCATGAATTAGACTATAGGTTATACTTATGTTTTACATGTCAAATACTGCAGACTGAAGTGCTTAAGCAATTGTCGTCTATGGGTCGACTAGTGGTTTGTGCTGGAAATGGTGCTGTTCAAAATAAAACTAATTTGTATGAATTTAGTTGTGAGCTCACTTTCTACCTTAACTAAAGAGTAAACCATTATTTTGGGCGTTGTAAATGTAGTCCTTGAACGTGACTTAATTACCAAAAAACATCTTTGAATATGTCTTTTCTCAGTGAGTTTGGTCATCGAATGTGTCTTTTGTTAGTTAGTTTGGTCTCTCGATGTCTCCAGATAGGCAATTTAGTCCTTTACTAACAAAAGACACTCAAGGATGTTTTTGTAATTTCAATACATTCAAGAACTATTGTGACACCGCTTCACACATATAAAGACCAAAATGATGATTTGCTCTTCACAAATAGTATTTTTTTTTAACTTCAATATTGATTTAACATGCTCTTAAATTGTTATAGGGCACTCCTGAGACATGGGATTACTTTGTGGATAGATTTGCCTTTAGACATTGTGGCCAGGGATGTAATCGAAAATCAGAGTCAATTTCCTTCATTCGAGATATCTACTTCAGGAACTTACCCAGAGGTTGATTTCTTACTGTTCAAATTCAATCATATATGCTTACAAGCTTCCACGTCCAGAAAATCTAAACCCTAATTGTTAATATCTCCATTAAATGACATCAGGTAATGGATGAACTGGGTGCTCTACACAACGAGTACAAAAATGGATACGCCACAGCTGATGCAATTATTTCACTTCAAAGTATATATTATATAACCTTTCTGGGCAGTTTTATGTTTTTTTGCCAGCAAGGTGCGGTTTGCCTCAGTTCCTAAAATAACTTCTTTCTTTTTACAGAAGTAGCTTCTCTGTTGGGTTATGACAACTTAGATGACATTACAGCAGAGGACATGGCTTTGGAGGTTATAATTTTAATTAAGCAAAATTTTCTTTGATTTGAAGCATGTGGCTTTGTTTCTAACTTGGATGGATCTTCTTCACAAATTTTGTCAACATTTTAAGCCATTAATCTTATTTTACTTCCAAACTTTTCACAAATTTTAGGTTCTTGGGGAGATTGAGAAGTTGACTAGAGTAAAGAGGATGATGCAAGAAGCTGCAAGGCCATTTTAATCAACCTGAGCATGTTTCCATATCGAATTTCAAAATTCAAAAAGTATTTTAGCATCTACCTATTTGTTTACGTTTAATCTTGTTAATTGGATGATCTGATGATACTAGTTTTTTTTTTTCCATTCATTAACTTCAACTTTTAAAGCCATGATCTCCATAGAATCTCTGTTTTAATCCCTATCGTTTCTATTCGTCATTGCTCCATTTTCATGGTTTTCATTCATCATCTATCTAATGACTTGCCATTCATAATATTGGTTCGATTGATCTTAACAAATTTTGATTAGTTTTGTCAACTTTTTAGGCTATGTATCACTATTGTACTTACAATTCTCCACTTTTTTTAGGCTCTTAAGGAGATTGAGAAGTGACAAAACTAAAGAAGATGATGATGGAAGAAGTTGCAAGACCATTTTAACCAACCCATGCTTCCATTACATATTATAAACTAATAAGTTCTTAAAAGTATTTTTGAATTTACTAATTTGTTTACATTTAATCCTGTTTATTCAGTTTCATTTCTTAAAACATAAAATTACTCAACCTTTGTTCTCTGTTTTTGTGTGGAATCGACTCTTTTTCCCCCTCTTGTTACAGTATTCTTATATTCGGATCATGGATCATCTTTAATTCACATTCAATCCATATTTAATTAATGACATTGATGTTATCTTTGATTTAGATTTAGTGCATATTTATCCGTCAATTTATACTCATTGCATCAACTTTTTTCTCAAAATAAAATGATATTATCATTTTATTGAGAAAAAAATGACGTACTGACCATGTAAATTACTGTCAATCAATGACGTCAACAAATGACAACTATGTATTACTTGTATGACATGATCAATTAATATATTTTCATTGGATGATAATGTAAAATTTTTTTACATACTGCATCTCCATTAAACCCTTTTGTTTTTAGTAAAAAATGTTAATTTGTATAAAATAAAAAAAGAAAATTTAGATATAATATTTTAAGTGTATAATTTTCTTTTGTACGTATCTAATTTTCTACTATTTTAATTTTTAAAATGATATTTAAGTATTATTGTCATATTTACATTAGAGACAATTTTCATTAGAAAATAGAAAGAACTATGCTTTTATATTTTCAATACAACTTTGATGCCAAATTTAAACAACAATTTGAATGGTTATTGAATTTTGATATCAAATTGAATTATGATTAATAAATATGATAATAATAATTTAACTATCACTAGCAACAATTTTAAACACTATTAATTAAAGATTTCATACTAATATCATAATATAATAGTAATTTAAATCATATTCAAATATATGTGTTATATTTTATAAAAAATAAACATGTAATTCAATTCACCTGCCACAACTTATATTTAAATAAACTAGACGTCGTTGATGATTATTATAATTTAAATAAATAGTTTAGAATATATTAATATAAATATTTGTAATTGTAAAATTAGTTTTATAAATAGAAGAAAGACAAAAAGATCTAGAATTGTAAAGGTAAAATAGAAGAGAAATAAAAAATATAGAATTTTGAATTTAAAATAGAAAAAAATAAAAAATTTCAAATAATAAAATTTGTAGAGCCCATATGAATTTCATAGTATTATATACGAAAATATTATAACAAAAAATATGAAACAGTTTAATCATTTACATATTAATTATTTATTAATTTTTATATATTTAATAACAAATACATAAAGCATATTTGTATAGCTCATACGGGTTATTATTATTTTGCATAAGGAATTTTTGTAAGAAAAAATAACTGAAATTTAATACTTTACATATTAATTATTTATTATTAAGAAATTAATTTATTGATAATAACTAATTTTCTCTCTACATCTTTCATACCTTTAAATAAGTGATATTGATTTGATTTATTATTAATTTGTTCAAATAAGTAATTTTTACTTTTATTTTTTTTTGTTGTGATTTTGTTGTTTTAGTTTTGTTTTTGTAAAAAATAGTTTTTTTTTGTTGCAGTTTTATCGTGATATTTATTTAGTTCAGATTAATCTTTGAATTAGATTTAAAGTAGCTTCAATTTAATTTAGGACATTGACGTCTTCAACATTGCTGATCTTAAATTTGGGGCATATTGAATGTATATAATAATTTAAATATATTGTATAAATTTCTGAAAGTATGTTGGAGGAAACAACTTAAAAAATAAGTACTTCTGAAATGTAGGGATCGATTTTTTCGTGGTTGAAACCGGTTATGTGAAAATGCACCGATTATAGAAGGTGTTTTCAGTTTCATATTTATGTTTATTGCATGCATAATCGGTTACGGATTTTGGCGTAAACGATTACGAACCCATGTTTGAGTTTTTTAGCTTATTTTTTAATTTGTTTTGTTTCTCAACAGTTTTGTTGGCTTGTATAAATATCCCTCAAGTTGTAACATTTCAGTTAATGTCATTTGTTACATACTCTCTCTCTCTCTCTCTCTCTCTCTCTCTCTCTCTCTCTCTCTCTCTCTCTCTCTCTCTCTCTCTCTCTCTCTCTCTCTCTCTCTCTCTCTCTCTCTCTCTCTCTCTCTCTCTCTCTCTCTCTCTCTCTCTCTCTCTCTCTCTCTCTCTCTCTCTCTCTCTCTCTCTCTCTCTCTCTCTCTCATTTGTCACTCCATCTTTTTCAATTATCATATTTTCTTTATTGATTCACCAATATAGTTTGTGTATGTTCCAACATTTGGCATCAAGAACCTTAGTTCTGATCCATAATCTGCTGCAAAGATGAATACAGTTTTCCAATGATAGAGTTCCCACCAACCTACCGATTCTTGATTCAAAGAATTATGACAAGTGATCAAAACAAATGAAGGTTTTGTTTGGGTATCAAGAGGTGCTTGAGGTGATCAAGAACAAAGTTACTCTACTTGGGGCAGAAGCTACAAATATTCTGAAGGCTGCATTCAATGAAGAGAAGAAGAAGGATTACAAGACACTCTTCTTGATTCATTCTTGTGTCGATGGTGACAACTTTGAAAAAGTTGACAATTGCGATTCGGAAAAGCAAGCTTGGAGATCTTGAAGAAGGCTTATGAAGGGGATGATAAAGCAAAAGTGGTGAGGTTACAAACTCAAGAGCTACAATTCAAATTGGTTAAAATGGAAGAGAATGAGACAATCAACGATTACGTAACGCGCATTACGCGTTTGATGAATCAAATGAAATCTTGCGGAGAAACTGTGTCGGAGCAGAATATTGTATCAGAAATCTTGCGCTCTTTGACACCAAGATTTGACAATATTGTAGTGACTATTTGTTAGCTCCTAAATTCGACACCCACAACATATTGGTCTTATTGGCCAAAAGATTAGATTGAACAAATCTAAACTGGAAACACTTCGACAGAAGGGCTTGTAACAAAAAGGTTGTGTCGAAGCCTCCCTTGTTAAGAAGGAGAAAACACTTAGAAAATTTTCTAAGTTAAAGTCGGTCTTCGATCAAGAGGTCCTTGTGGCCTTCGACTTAAAGGTTCTCGTATCAGCAGGCGATTAATTTTGAATCTGAAGAAAGGAGGGAAAGACAGTTCACTTGGCAGTTGAGGAAAGCAACGTGTCATAAAGATAGAGGTCGAAGCACATGCAGAGGACACTTTTCCTCATCCTGGAACGAGGTAACTACTCGACGGTTACTTAGTTTTAGTATAAATATAGGAAATCTGTGTAAAACTCGTGTGTTCAACATATAGTACAAGTCACTCAAATATATCCAAGTACCCGCTGTGAGAGAAAAGATATTGAGAATGTACGTTTGGAACACCATCTTTCATTTCAATCAAAGTCTTTACAATTCCTTTACATTCCTTGCCATTTACATTTCCTTGCATACTTTATCATTACTGTAAATTTACTCTATCTTGCCTTTGTTGTACCCCAATTTTCGCCCCTAAGATTCCCCTATCCTATCATGTCAACTTGATCATAACAAAATCACATTAGGGTTGGTTCTTTCTCTTTTCATATCTCCTATCTTTAAGTTTGCTCTTGAGGAATCTCCAAGCACCTTAGTTGTGTATTTTGTATATGCGTTGATAATTAACCTCTAACCAAAATACAAAAAATATTTGTCTTTGCCTTTGCATATTTGTGTTTTGTAGGTACCGAGTCGAAGCATCCGACAAATATGGTTTTCCGGTATTATTTCCCTAAAATATCTTTTTTGAAAAGAAAAATAATAATAATTAATTTTTTTCATTTTTGTTTTCCTGTACAATCGATTGCTCTCATAGTGCAATTGATTGCACAGAGTGTATTGTGCATAATCTTTGAAAAAAGTGTATTTTTAGCCTTCAAAAATAAAAAAAAATTAGTATGTGTCGACACATACGTGTTATGTGTCGACCTATGCAAGACAGTCAATTATGTAATGTGTTGAAATAGAAGCTTGCATCGACCCATAGAGGCTTGTATCGACTCATCCTGCTTTGTATAACTAGCATGTGTCGACACATACATGTTATGTATCGACTCATGCAAGTTGATTGATTTCGTATCGTATTGAAATAGCAGCTTGTATCGATCCATAGAAGCTTGCGTCGACTCATGCTGTGTTATACAACTAGCATGTGTCGACGCGTACGACTCTTGTGTCGACTCATAACAGCAAAACACACGTGATTTTTGAAAAAAAGCCAGCAATTTCAGATCTGTCATCTTTTTGGCTCCAATTTTTCTGCATAATTTGAAAATTATATCATTAATTCAATTTTTGGCTCCAAGAATCAATTACCAAATTACCACTAATCCCCAATCCTAAAATCTATAAATAGATACCTCATTTCATTTAAATCACAAGCTTTTGATAGCCAAATCCACCTTGCTAAAAAATCTCTCAATTCTCTCCATCTACCAAATTCACTCAAAGCTCCATTTAAAAAAAAAGGGATAGTAAGCTTTGCAATGAAGCTTACTAATCTTTGAACTAAACCTTCATCCAAACACTTTTTCTTCATCAATTCTCTACATCCAAGCTTTGGTAATT